AGCTAATTTTTTGATTTATTGTAGAGATGAGGTCTCGCCTGCCCAGGCGGGTCTCAAACCTGCGGGCTCAGGCAATCCTCAGCCTCCCAAAGGCACGGGATTACAGGCTGAGCCACCAAGCCTGGCTTATTGTTAATATTTTATCACAGTTTTGTTTGTGTTGATTGTAATGCTGACTGACCACCTGTCTTTTAAGTATGATTTCATTGTCATTTGATTTAATACTGATCCTCTTCATGGATAATATTGTTAGTCTATACACCTATTCTCTAAATGGAAAGCCTGTTAGTACAAATGAATGATCTGCAACATGATTTAATTTATTGATAGATCTATACAAATTATTGATCAGTCTGAGACTCAAACCATAGTCTTGTCTTCTAATCTGTGCTAGGTTTCAGTCTCAGGGAGGAATTTGTTTTCCTTGTCTACTCCTAAACTTGGTACATGTCATTACCAAGATTTTTAGTTTTGGACTTCTACTGTACCTGAATGGCCACTAGAAGAATTTCAGTCAAACCTAGATAGTTCAAGTTCACCTCACAGTCAAGATATATTTCTCATTTTGGCTTTGCGGATTTAATCCGTAGAGCTTATGAAAGCTATTTGGTAAGTAAAGAAGGTCTCTGATATTTATAATGCTGTACTAATAAATTTGTGATCTAATTCAGTAAAATTTATTTTCTTTTTCAGTTCTGTCAGGAGGACCATTGCCTCAAGGGCATGAATTTGAACTATACGAAGTTAGATTTCACTGGGGAAGAGAAAACCAGCGTGGTTCCGAGCACACGGTTAATTTCAAAGCTTTTCCCATGGAGGTAAGGATAACAAATCATCTTGTAAAAATCTTGTTATTCAAATAAAGTGATCAGCGATTTACTGAAAACATGTTAGTTTGAAAGTAGATGCATAATTCTTGAATTTTATTAATTCATACTGAATTTTAAAAGTGCTAAATGAAGTGAAAACTTGAGGCAGCAAGTGAAGCTTCCTTTCTACCTGAATGGCCTTGAAGTGTGAACCTGAACACGAGGCCATAAAGGTAATCGATGGTATCGAGTTTCATCCTAGTGTTATTACTGTTGTAAAAATTCTGCTACCTCTGCAGATTTATTAGATCACTTTTGTAGATGTTAAAAATAGATTATGAGCTGAAAACAAATAGCTATTGGAGAAAACTCAAGAATAATTAAAAAGTCTAGTTTAGCTAGTTTAAAATTGAAAGATTAGTTTTATTCACCCAATGTCATGGGAGGGGAAGGGAGAGAGGGAGAGAAAGAGAGGTTTAGAGTGTGATTCTTTTGTCTGAAGGATTCCTTCCCACACTTATCTTTTTAGTTAACTCCTGCTCTTTCTTTAATATCCAGTTGAAGTATTGTATCTTCTATGGCAGCAGACTCCAACCTTTTTGGCATCATAGATAGGTTTCATGGAAGACACTTTTTCCATGGATGGGTGGGGGCGATGGTTTCAGAATGATTCAAGTGCATCGTGTTCATTGTGCAGATCTGCAGTGGCATGAGATTTTCAAAGGGAGTGTACAACCTAGATCCCTCACACACACAGTTCACACTAGGGTTCACACTTCTGAGTATCTGATGTTGTTGCTGATCTAACTTGAGGTGGAGCTCAGGCGAGTGAGGGGGAGAGTCTGTAAATACAGATGAAGCTTTGCTTGCTTGCTTGCTGGTCACCGCCTCCTGTGCAGCCCAGTTCCTAATGGGCCATAGACTGGTAGATGCTGGTCCGTGGTCCAGGTGTGGTGACCTATGTCTATGGGAGTTTTTCTGAGTTCCTTTCCTGGGCAGATTGTCTTTCTCCCTCTCTGGGCTCCAAGTATACTTGATAGGTTGCTACTAGGTCACTGTCCCATGGGTTATAACATTTAGTGTGCAGTGTATCTCTCTTACTGACTGTGGGCTCCTGAAGAGAGGGTTTCCCTCTTACCTCACTTTTATTCCCATTATTTAGCCCATTGCCAGGCACAGTATAGACAGACAATCCATGTTGGTAATTTGAGGGATGTCTCTGTTGGACCAGGCCTTGTAGATGTTTCTTTCTATAAGGAACCTCATTTTGTCCCAGCAAGTAGCCCTTCCGTGGCATGTAAGAGAATATTTGGGCTTCTGGATTGCCAGTCTTTCTCTGTCATTCCCAACTTCATATATACTTAATATTAAATATAAAATTGTTCATGGCTGGATAACATCACATCTGTACCACCTCAGTGGCTGGAAATCAAGTAAGTGATATATGTACTTTAGAGGATTAAGTTGAAGTGTTTCTCAGCCTTACTTTAATTCTATTAAAAAAAACTCTCTTTAGAAGCTCAGGATAGCCTTCATTGAAAAAGAAATGTTAAATGTTTTAATACTGGAGAGTAAAATCTCAATTGCTGTATGTTGAAGAGCATATGAGGTATGTGTTGGTGAGGACAGTGAGGGGAGGCAGCTTCCTAAAGACCTTGCTGGGGAAGGTCTTCAGAAGTTACCTTCCTAGGAACTTTTTTCTCAATGCCTGTAGACATCTTCTCCTTTTTACTTCCTTAAGATGATTCTGGCCGGGCTCGGTGGCTCAGCCTGTAATCCCGCGCTTTGGGAGGCTGAGATGAGTGGAGCCCGCGGGTTCGAGACCCGCCCGGACAACTTGGCTAGACCTCGTCTCTACAATAAATCAAAAAATTAGCTGGGCATGGTAGTGTGCGCCTGTAGATCCAGCTACTTGGAAGGCTGAGGCAGAAGGATTGCTGGAGCCCAGCAGGTCAAGGCTGCGGTGGCCGGGAGCGGCCACTGCACTCCTGTCTGGGCGACAGAGTGAGACTCCAATTCAAAAAAAAAAATGATTCTGTGTCAGCTCTGGCTTCTGCCCAGTCCTCAGCCACCCTGAGAGGTAAATGTTCATACCAGAGTGCATCAAAGAGGAGAAAGGACACAAAACAATCCCAGTTAACCCCACTGGGTGGTGGGGGCCAGAGTGAAGGACAGGACCAGCCCAGATCGTCAGGGCATCCGCCTGCCCTCTTCTTTGGGTTTGAAAGTCCATTTGGTCATTTTGTGTCAATCAGTCCTCAAAGACAGACTCTAGTAACACAAGTTTTAGGGAGAGATGGGCATAATTGGGTAGGTAAGAACTTCTGGATGGGAATTCCAGGGCTTTGCTTGTGATACACAGAATATACAGCCTTGGGAAAGTTTAATTAGGGGAGTCAGCGATCTGGGCTCTTTGCTCTGCTGTCAGAATTTCTGGACCAAATGCCCAGATGGGTCCGGTTCCTTGGTGGCATTTTAACGGCTCTGGTCCATTAAGCACAGGTAATGGTTTGTTTTGAGGTTAGATTGAATTCTGATAGTTACAGGTAATGGTTTGTTTTGAGGTTAGATTGAATTCTGATAGTGAGGTTTTGTTTCTGCAGAAATATTTATACTTAGAATAATGGAATCGCCAACTGTAATTTTTCCAAAATACTTGATGAATAATATTTAGATTCTTTGTTATCCCAGATTATCCCTGATCCAATCCTAGAGAAAATACTTGTATCAGTCATCCGATGTCCTATTGAATATGTAAATATAATGGGTAGCAGAATTAGAGAGAGATTTCTAAGCCGAGGGGTGTGTGTGTGTGTGTGTGTGTGTGTGTATAGACTATGAAAACGGAACTGGGTTTTGAGGAGGAGAGGGCTCTTGTGGAGTGTTGAAAGAGAGGCAAGAGGGTCCCTATGTGGAAGAACACTTTGGGAGTAGGAATGAGTTGGCTAATGCAGAGACAGATGACTTACTACTGGTTTCCTGGTCACTGCTACCAAGGGCCACCTCAGACGGGCATGGCCAACAGGACAGTGGAAAGTACAACCACGTACCCTTTTGGGTAAATGATTTTTTTTTCTAGTTTTTTTTTTTTTTTTCTGAAGACACTGTTCATATTTTATTTTTATTTTAAGACTAACTTTAATCTGAATCTCACGTCCATGCACCTATGGCCTTTTTGTTGATTTCACTTAAAGTTAAAGAGATGGCTCATTAAACAAACACTGCAAACAAATATTTACTATGTCTGTTACGCATAACACACAGGAATGCCTTTTTTTCTTTTTTCTCTTTTTTTTTGAGTTGGGGTCTCACTCTTGTCTAGGCTGGAATGCAGTGGCACCATCATGACTCATCGCAGCCTCGACTTTCTGGGCTCAGGCGATCCGTCCACCTCAGCCTTCCAAGTAGTTGCGACTGTGGGCACGTGCCACCACACTGGCTAATTTTTTTCATGTTTTTGTAGAAACAGAGTGCTAATCCTAAATGTTACATTTGTCTCCTTTCCATTCCTCTCCATATTTGTGTTTTTCCTTGTTGAGGTTTTTAGTTTCCAAGAACACATATGCTTCCACAGCCATCTGAGCCTGTTCACTACGCTTTCATCTTATAAACCTGAATTCTGTTATAAAAACTCTAGGCTTATACTTAAATGACAGTGCCTTAATAAGAGAAAAAAATAATTGTGCTGCATTCTTTTACTGGGAAGGTCTCTCTATGTTATTTGAACTCCTGGTCTCAAACAATCCTCCTGTCTTCAAACTTCCAAGTAGCTAGGACCATTGGCATGCTCCACCATACCTGGCTCCAACCAGAATTCTTATACTTATTGTGTGGGTATTTTGCATTGTGATATTCAGCCAACACAGTGATATGAGAAGAAGACTGTTGATTCAAGACAAGTTTGAGATCTACTAAAATTAATTCTTGTATGCTTGTTCTTCTGGTGGCTATTAAATTGCTTATTTCTTTGGACATCAATAGATGTTTTAGCCTTTGAAGTCCAACTTTAATGCTATATGATTTATTTTTTATTATTTATTTTATTTTTGCCATTTGCTAACACTAGTATGCTCCAGGCACCCCCCATTCCATTGGAATTGTTTCTTCCATGCACATTAAGTTTTGGTACAAACCTGAGGCTTCTGGGTCTTTAGGCTCATGGGTTCACATTCATCTTGTAGGCTATATATTTTGATTTGTTTCTGGTCACTGCCATCTTTGCTAACTCTGTGGTCTGTATACTTTTTATGACTAAGCTTTACAATGACTAGCTATTCTTAATTCTAGAGGAGAATGCTTCCTAGGCATTTTGATTTCATGCTGAATCGATAAAATAAAAAAAGTGATGGGGAGACCAAGAACATGATCAAGTTGTAAGTTTTTCAAGGAAGAGCATTAACTTTCTGCCGTCCTCATCATTTTATAATCTGTCATAAACACACCAGGCTTATGCCTAAATGACAGTGACTTGATAAGATAGAAAAACAATTGTGCTGCCTTCTTTCCCCTTTTATTTGAAAGGGTCTTACTACGTTATTCGAATTCCTGGTCTCAAGCAATCCTCCTGCCTTCAAACTCCTGCCTTCAAGTAGCTGGGACTGTTGGCATGCCACACCGTGTCTGGCTTTATGCCTTTGTGTCCATTTTGTGATGGAAAAGTGAGGATCTTTAATAGCCAAATGTAGGAAGGGTATGATCTCAGAATAAAGCATGGACTCATGAATGGAATAGATTTCTCTTTTAAAAACCATACTATATATTATTTCTATTTTTCTCAGTTCACTACAGATGAATGATAGTTTTGTTAGAGATAGACACTAAGCCTATAGCCACTTTTTTGCCCTTTAGGGCTAAAAAGTTGATGCTTTAAGAATGCATTGCATGGAGGGGGAGGGGAGAGGAAAAAAGAACGCATCGCCAAGAGAAAAGTCCAGCCATATTGTAGGCCAGACCCTTATCTTTATACTGTATTTAAAGAGCAGCCATTGCTCTGTGTACTCTGAAAGGTC